AAAGCCCCAGTAGATAGTTGTATGTCATAGTTGCACATCCTTCTAGTTGCTGTATGTGGGACGCGGCCTCAGCATGGCCGGAGAAGCGGTGCGTTGGTGCGCGCCCGGGATCTGAACCTGGGCCGCCAGTAGCAGAGCCTGCGCACTTAACCGCTAAGCCATGGGGCCGGCCCCCAACTTTCTTTTAATGTTTTCCTTGCGTGTGCTAATTTTCCTATTATCCAGTGTAACTGCAGTTCTCATTTTTCTGTGACTAATTTTAGCTTGGCTAAAATGAAGAAGGTACCTTTAGGTTAGTTTTTTTTTGTTTTTTTTTTAATACACATTGTAGAAGGTAAGTGCTGTTAGATACACCTTTCTTGCTTAGAAACTTTGGCTATCCTAAGCTGAAAACAGACACCAAAGTGTAGTTAAAAGGAAAAAAAAGCTTTATTCACGTTGGCATCTGTCTTTGTGAGAGATGCTTCAGATAGTATAGTCTGTTTTAATATTGTGTCAAAGCCCTAAAGAAAGAAACAGTAGTTGTTTTTCTCCCCTCAGTCATGAAGATGTTCACAAAAGCAGTTATAAACTGATAGTTTTCCTGCTCTAAAATGTCTCAAAACCAATTCCAATCTAACTGTGTGAAAATTATATTTTATTCATAATAGATTTTTAATGCTTGATCTTGGCATCTTTTTAAAAGTCTACGGTGCATAATTTCATTCTGCCAATTATGAGGTTTTTTCTGGATGCAGCTATTTCCTCTGGTTCTTGCTACAGAATGACCACATTTCATTTTAGAAATGTTTTAATACTAATGATAATAAAAGAAATAATTCGTGTGCTGAAACACAAATACCAAGACAAAAGGATTCCTAAGTGTACTGTTATGATTTACGCAGCTTCTGTTTTAATGGAACTTTAAACAGGGACAAGGGAATCATCTATGCTTCCTCTCAAAATTGTAGACTAGGATTCCTTTTAGGAATCACACCTAGCAGAATCCTTAAGTCTATTAAAATTTCTACTTGAATAATTTTTATTAACATCGATGAAATAGTGAAAAGAAATAATTCATTTTGAAGTTTATGGCTTGCTGAGGAGTAGAAATCTAACACCCTTATAATAGGAGCTCAAGGAATATTTTTTTATTTAGCGACTGATGAGATGTGACAAATACAATCCATAGAGTTCAAAGATGCAGGAGAGAATCATCTGTACAAGAACCAAATAAGAAGGGGCTTAAATTGAAGCGGAAGAAACTAGAGTTTAAAGATAACTCAATAACTAGGAGTGAGATCCTAGGAGAGACTTGAAGGCCTGGAATTTGTTCATGCTACCTTAGGAAATGGTTTCTATATTTGCTCTATGTAGTAGGGACTCTATCTTATGGAAGAATTGGTGTGACCGATAAATTTAATCCTAATATCTGAGGTTCTGTTACTCAGCGTTGTTTTCTCTGAACGGGATTTGACTTGTCAGCAAATCGTACCAAATATTGTTTGCAAAGAACCATGTGGTTCTCAGCTAAAAAAGAGTACACCTAACCACTGAAATATTTCTGCCTACAAAGCACCTTAGCAGTAGCATGGCAGCAATATTAAATCAAGCAAATAGCTGACAAAATGAATGATTATCAGTGAACCTTACCTATTTGTGTGTGGGGGAGGGGACATTTCAAGGTGAAAGACATTCATGACTGCCTGTCTGCATTCATAAATTGGTATCTGTGAATTCCAAGATCAAAATTGGTTTTACTGGGGCTGGCCCGGTGGTGCAAGTGGTTAAGTGTGTGCGCTCTGCTGTGGCGGCCCGGGGTTTGCTGGTTCGGATCCTGGGCGCGCACCGACACACTGCTTGGCAAGTCATGCTATGGCGGCATCCCATATAAAGTGGAGGAAGATGGGCACAGATGTTAGCCCAGGGCCAGTCTTCCTCAGCAAAAAATGAGGAGGATTGGCAGATGTTAGCACAGGGCTGATCCCCTCACACACACACACAAAAAATTGGTTTTACTTACAAATTACAAAAATATCTAACATAGAAAACTTAATGGCCAAAACAACCATCTAGCAACTTCATTAATTTTTTAGATATAGATAGTAATTTAACCATGTGACACAATTCCACACTGCCAACTCACAAATATATGATACTGTGTGCTCAAGGAGAAACTGGATTTTCCCTTCTATTGGTCTTGGAATGCCATCCGGTACCCTGGCAGGGAAGGTCTGCAAATAATTGTCTAGAGTGTTTTGCCACCTGGTACCTACTAATAGAACAACTAGGTAGCATGCCCATTTTAGGAGTGTACTCATAGAATAATATCCAGGAAATTCAGAGGACCATGATTTAAAAACAAAGTGGTATAACTCTTTTTGGATATTATCCTTGGCTGATGGCTCTGTATAAGCCTCACATGGAAATGAGGTAAATTTTGTGGCAAAGCTGAGTGACTAGATGAAAAAAATCTCAGTGGCTTACCTTGATTTCCTATTTCATAAAATGTAAGAACTAAAAAAAATTATGAAGATGGTGATCAACTTGCAATATTTGTGCAACATTTCATCTAACTGGGTTACACAAATTTGCTAGTAGAATGTGAATCTTATCAATATTTGTCATTTGCAGCAACAAAGAACTCCCAGTAAGACTAATCTTTTACAGCATTTTGTTTTTGTACACTTAATAATTTATTTGACTTCACATTGGTGAATTACTTTTCCATAGTGCTTTCCCCCCTCCCCCCAAATATTTGGGTTAGATAATGGAAGAATACCAACAATCTACAATTATCTACTAGTAACCACTTCAATTTTCAATCATTAGCTTAAGTCAAATTCTCATAGGGGTTGAAAAATAAATCCCAGGACTCATCAAGGTTAAATCATTTTTAAAGTTTTGTTTTCAATTTTCAGTCCACTTTCCTGAGTAAAAGTGTATGTGGATGATAGGAAAAGGAGAGAGGAGGAAAGAAGATATAATGGCTACAAAAACAAGACTAATCAAGCTTCAGTAACTTGATAAGCAATGTAGAAATACCTTTATTTTTGTGTCTCTGGTCGAAACTATTACTAAAACTAAGATTCTTCTATAAAACCAAACAAAAATATTTCAGAAATTAGACATTATGCATTTCGAAGTTAAACTGCCCAAAATTAAATACAATTTCTTTTTCCAGAGTTCCATCAGTTTGGAAAGAAACTCTCAAATAATGCTTTTAAATTTCACATACATTTTTTACACTGTAACCATTATATCTTGTCCATCCTTCACAGAATATGTCAGTTTCACCAATATGTTTTTCCAACTGAAGAATTTTGGGTCAACAGAATGCAGTTATCTTGAAATGCACACCTGTTAGGCAGCCAAAAGACTGTATCATATATCTCCCCCATCAAATCACAAACTGTCTGAGGCATTTTTCTCTGATAAAGAAGACACACTGAATGAGGTATCATCAGGTTCCGGCGAGGCATGATTGAAATCCATCTCTTCTAATTCAGGAGGTAAATCTGACAGCAGTGCCTGAGTCAGAAAAATCAATTTTTTGGAATTAGTATGTGGACATATTTTTCCCAATTTTATGTTAATAGTTGCAGTCCTCTCATGTTGATTTTTTCTTAAGGATTTTAAGAAAGGAACATTTCTCTTTCAGGACCTTATACAATATCCTACCTAAACGAAAAATTCATTATACACTGTTAAGGAAGTAACAAAATACTAGATCTAGAGAGGGTGGATTATGTAAAGTGGAACCCTGAACAAGAGGGAAATCAGGAGAGAAATGAGCAACAATTCTGAATCAAGTGCTTTGAAGTGTTTGAGATAAGTGATTTTCATACTAGTTTTGAGTGTTCACTGATCACTGCTAAAGGGCTTTAAAATTATATTCCTTATTATAATAGTCTTGCCCAGTTATACTGTCCTTTAGAGAAAACACATTTCACAAAAGACTATTTTGTATTTCAGTGACGGAAAGAACTTAGCAGTTAAAAAAGAAGTTCAGCTATTTTACCTTAGACTAAAATTTAACAACTTAAAAAGTCCAAGTGATTTTTCTTCTTTTCTGAGGCTATACCCATGTCTACACATGGCCAAACACCCACTAGGGCCTGGCTGAACCAGTGAGTCTAGCTGTGTAATGATGTATCTAGAGGGCTGATCATTTCTCTATAGGAACAATCAGGATAAGCCAAGAGCCATGAACTAAGCTTTGCCATGGTGTAATTGTTTGATGTAGAGTTGCAGAACATGCATCCATACTATAGAAATAAATGATTAATCAAGTTTTATGTGGCTGACAGTGTTGATGCCCACTTGACTATAAAAAATTGAAAACAAAATGAATGATTTGTTGCTCCCAATATTAAAAATAATGTAGCATATCTGGGCAATTTTTCGACAGCATTACTTGTAGTGTGGGCTTTGGGTGCAGTGGTAAACAAGGACCAAGGGAACAGAAACAAATGCAAACCTGCCACTACCCAATTAAGGAACAGAAAGACAGGGCATGTTGGAGAACGTATGAAATACACCGTTGAAATAAGACAGTACTCCCTATTCTCTTTATTGAAAGAAGTGACAGCTATAAATCCTATACTTTTTGTCTTATAGTAGAGAGGCAAGATTAGCAACTTTCTCCTTTTTGTCAGGCTGCATAAGGAAAGGCTAACTCATATCTGAAAGAAAAGATGTTATTTATTTTATACTATTAAATAGTTTATGAACATCTTGCTGAAATTGAGAGTATTTACAAAGCAGTCACCCAAAGGTATTGCATGCTTTCTAAGATGCTAGGTTGCAGTAATAGGACACAGAGCCATTTTCTTCTAGAACAGTTGTTTACCATTAATCCAGTCTGGGTGAAACAAAGCCTTTGTTGACACTGGGTGATCATAGTTTATTAGAAATACATCACTGGATTTGGTTCACTTAGCAATTGTGAAGTCATATTAAAGAGGGAAAAGTGCTTCAATTAACATTCACTGAACATGTGCTTTGAGTATTGGAAAGTCGAGTGGGTGAGCAGACTTAACTACATTCTAAATTCTAGTGGAGAGATCTTCAAATCAAAGGAGCACTACTATTTATTTCTTTATCACTGAATTTCATGTAGTTGACTGACTAAAATGAGTTTAGTATGAAACAGGAAAACTTTAATATCTGAGGCAGTATAGGGCATTACTAATGCATGAGATCCACTTCAAAATTCTTCTTTTCAATATCTTACAGGATTGCAACATTGGCACGTTGAACAAAACTTTGGATTATGCCGATTGCCAGAACTGCCTTTTTCATAGATACTAAAGTAAACACAATTAACTTTCTTTACTACAAGTTCTTCATCAATCTGCCTTCAGAGTCTGGCCTAGTGCCACTGTTCCCAAGAGATTAAAGCATTTCCCAAATATATCATCAGTCTCTATAACACTTATTCCAGGCCCTAGTGTGTGAATGCTAAGTTCCATAATGTTAATCATTCTTATCTTCCTTGTAAAGTGGACAAATCAAAGTTTAAGAAAGGCAATTGACCTGGCTAGAATCACATAGTAAATTATCAGGGGAAGAAAGACCATAACTAATGACTTAGTACAGTGCTGGCAACATTATTTTTATTTTGAAATGGCTATTGATTAAAAAAAAACTTTGGGTAATCTAATATTTCAGTCAGACAGTATTATATATTTTTAAAGATTTTATTTATTTTATTTTTTCCCCCCAAAGCCCCAGTGGATAGTTGTGTGTCGCAGCTGCACATCCTTCTAGTTGCTGCATGTGGGACTCGGCCTCAGGATGAACGGAGAAGTGGTGCCTCAATGCGCACCCGGGATCCGAACCCGGGCTGCCAGCATCGCAGCGCGCGCACTTAACCACCAAGCCACAGGGCCGGCCCTGACAGTATTATATATTTTTAAAGCCTGGACTGCTTCATTGGGGAAAAATATTCTGTGGGCCATGCATCTCACTCAACTTACCCAAATTAAGATTAATTGAAAAACACTTAGGATTTTTTAAAATGAGAAATCAATGACAAAATGGTTCTCTTTTATTAGGAAGAATAAAAATTAATTCCTTCTAGAAATAAACCACTAAGTATTTCATAGTGCAAAGATCAGTAATTTAAGAGATCACCTGGATAAATTTTGTGGACTACTATTGGTGTCTTCTATATTTTGAGACCATATTTTGAGATCTGTTATACTCGATCTCAACTATGAAAATCAGTAGTTGCTATTTGGGTGCTGATTATATAGCCTATTACTTTCAGTTCAATTTTTGTATAACTTTCTCCTTTTTTTAGCCAAAGTTTTGTCTATATCTTAGTTCATCAGTCTTTGATCAGAGGAAAAGTGTAAGAGAAGAAGAAAAGTAAAATGTACAACAGTTACTTATTTGTTAGTGGTCTTGAGGAAAGAACCAAGCCAGGGATGAGGTTAGAATTAGAAAATAAAATGCAGTCCGTGTGCTATTCCTAGATACCAGGAGACATAGACAACTGCTAGTTAGCTGGCTATATAATTCTGAATTCAAAACCATGCCACGACTTTTGGAACCAGGACCACACTCTAAGTTATTCCTATTGTTGGACCTAATTTTGCTTTTTTTTACAGTTATTTAAAATTTACAGTACCCTTGGGACCACGTTCAAGATTACCATCTTATTCATTTAAAATCTGTAGTTTAGGTTTTTAAAAAACAAACACATTTTCAATATGCCATGAAATATGCATAACTAACATCAGAAAGCAATATGCTTAAATAAAGCTGGCTGAGGTAACTTAAGACTACTGTCTTGGGATGTCTGGGCGTGTGCAGCACAAGGGGAGCAAAATTCATGAAACTAGACACATAATGTACATATTGGTTTGAGCCTCATGAGTAAATTCTTTTAGTGTAGATTTTGTGGTTCAGTACTTCAGTGAAATATATAAAGACTATTTTATTTAAAAAAGGGAGAATTGTGGGATGCTAAGACTCTAATCTTTTTCCCTGGAGATGTTTGGGATGGGATACGTGTGTGCAGTCTTGCTTGGATATAAGTGATGAATTTCGGCACTCTTGAGATTCCCTGCTGAATGAAAACCTCTGAAACTGCTTCCTAATTAATGGTTGCCTGTGTGACATACTACCCATATTGAACTTCTCTGACAAGGAATCAACATGGTAGTATACAACTCAGAGGTAAATTTGGTATCATTCAGTATTGAATGAAACCATTTATTCTATAATTATTTTCAGCAAGCTTAATAAATTATTATATAAATTTCACATGAAGAAATGAGATAGAAAATGTAATTTGGAAAGAATTTGTAGTCAAAAATCCACAGCAACAAACAAAAGACATTACATTTCATCTTTGGGGTAGAGGAATGAAACACTCTAGTTAAATTGGAAAAAGTAAATGATGCACTGTGATCACAAAGAATTTCACAAAGTAATTTCATACTTTTTTAGTGATGAGCAATATGTCATGAAATAGAAGTAATTCAAACATTTGTGAATGTTAGTAGGGGCTGGAAGATAACTGAAATCCAGAAGAGAGTCAACTACCTCACCTCCTTCATTCACAAAATGTCCCAAAATATGTGACTCTGCAGTTAGGGTAGCCTGGTCTTTACAAACACTTTGAGAATTTCTTTAAAATTAATTTTAAAATTGTTTTTTCTCCTATTTAAGGCTAGCTTGGAATTAACAAAGTATGTTAATCAGTTATTTTGATTTTCCACGAAAGCAGCACACAAAATCTAAATATTCTCAAGAAAACTGTGCTAAAAAAAGGCACAAAGTAACAGATCCTTCCTTGATGCGAAGCAAGAATGAAGTATAAAAACGAAAAAAATATGAAGAACCCAAGTGTGACATGCCATTTTCAACATGATACATTATACTTACTATTCTTTTCTGGCACCTACCTGCTGTTGTTCCTTATTGTCGGCTTTCATAGCTAGTATCAAGCTTCTGACAAACGTCTGAAGTTTAAAGTATTTTTGCTTTTGAATCTCTAACTCATTTTCAATGAATCTGACTTCTTCATTCTAAAGGAGAAAACATAAAACAATATATTTACCCTATGCAAACCTAGGACTGTACATGTTTGATGCACAATAAAATTAAAAAAAAATCTAATTAGAGGGATAATAAAGAAGATAATATTTTAGCATAAAAAATATGAAGCACAGAAGGAAATTATCCTGTTACTCAAAGGCTGCCTTTTAACTGAATCACCAACAGAAAACAATTTGCAAGGACAAAAATCTAATTAAATAAATTCCAGTAAGAGAAAAATCAAGAAACAGTTCCCTTCTTGGAAAGACTCCTCCTATATTAAGTCTAATTAGCATTTGGATTAGGATTAAGAATAGACAGAGTCCAATTAACCCCAAGTAAAGAGCAATAGCAGAGGCAGTAATGCTGAATGTACCATTCACAAAGCTAAATACTGAGAACTAAAAAGGTTATTATTTTGTAACAAGGAGGGACTGAAATTATTGCTAAGACTGTCTTAAATAGTTTGCTGAGTTTCCTGCCTTTATGTAGAAGTCTGTTACTCAGAAAATATCTCCAAATGTATCACTGTGTACCACTGATTTGAGATCCAGTCTCTCTTCACTATTTTTGCTAGTGGTGTAGGAAAAGAACAATGGACTAGGATTTGGGAGGATTTTAGTGCTAGGTCTACTGATAATTGTGTAAAGTTGGGCAGGCCAATTAACCTCTCTTGTGACTCTGTTTACTCATCAGTAAAATGGACATAATACTAATAATCTTCAGCAATTCTAGCTTTGAGGGTTATAAGGCTCAAATAAGATAATGGCCATGAAAATGCTCTGAATAGATTTACTATTAAAGCTACAGTAATAAATAAAATGTTGTTCTGGAAAAAAGAGTGGACATATAGATGAATGGAAAAGAACAGAGATCTATCTATCTATATGTATATCTATCTATATATAGATATAGATAGAAATATATATATATATATATATATATATATATATATATATATATATATTCAGTTGATTTTTGACAAAGGTGCTAAGGTAATTCAATGGACAAAGAAAGGATAGTCTTTTAAAAAACAGTGGTTGAATAATTTTAAATCCATATCCAAAAAAAAGATTATCAGCCCTTACCTCACATCATATACAAAATTTGACAAGAAATGGATCATAGACCTAAATATAAAACCTAAAACTATAAAACTTCTAGAGAAAATATTTGTGTCCTTGGGTTAGGCAAATATTTCTCAATAGGACACAAAAAGCATGAAACTTAAAAGAAGACTTCTTCAAAATAAAAAAAAAAATCCTTTTGCACTTAAAAGGCACTGCTAAGAAAATAAAAATACAAGCTACGTATTTGGAGAAATTATTTGTAAATCACGTGTCTGATAAAGACTTGCATTCAAAACACATAAAGAACTCTGACAATGCAATTATAGAAAAAGCAATAGAATAAAAAGCCGGCAAAATATTTGAACACACACTTCATCAAAGAAGATATGTGAATGACCAATAAACACGTGAAAAAATGCTTAATATCATTTGTCATTAAGGAAATGCAAATTAAAACCACAATGAGATACTACTATTAATATACTACAACGGCTAAAGTAAAAGAGACCGACAATAGCAAGTGCTGATGAGAATGTGAAGTAATTAGAAGTCTCACACATTGCTGGTGGGAGTATAAAATGGTACAGCCACTTTGGAAAATGTTTTGGCAGTTTCTTAAAAAATTAAACATGCTCTTCCTTAACATCTGACTCAACAATCCTACTGCAAGGTTAAATGAAAACACACGTCCACAAAAAGACATACATGAATATTCACTGCAGCTTTATTCACAAGAGCTAAAAACTAGAAGCAACAGAAGTGTTCATCAGCAGATGAATAAACAAATTGTCGTCGTGGTTACACAACTGTGTCCACTTGTCAAGACTCATCTAACTGTATAAGAGGTGAATTTTATTGTATGAAAATTATATATTAAAAAAACCTGATGAAAAATAAAAAATAAATTATTAGCCAGTCTCCTTGCCAAAAAACGTGAAAATAAGCTGAAAGTATTCTCTGCAGGTGACGAAATGGTCTCAAAGAGCACAGCAGTACCTTTAACAACATTTGTTCAAAAAGCTGCATAAAAGACATTAAAATTAGCTAATTCTATGGGCATTCTTGTCGTTGAGAGGATACAGTTGTATTAATCACATTCCATCTATGAACATGTTTACTGCATCAATCATTTTATCAGCTCAGTTTAGAACTTATTTTACCTAATAAAACAGCTTCCTTTTCAGACCATTTAATATCAAGTGATGAACACACTTAAGAAACCAACCAAATCAATAATAAAATTATTTAATATCAAATAAATATCAAGTGAATGATGATTCAAGCTAAATCCCTTATCCAAAGGCACTCTACAGCAATCAAAGTTACAAGTAAGCATTATAATAAAACCCCATTTGCTCCTGCCATAAGACATTTGACTAATTCTAAGATTTTGGTTTTTTAGTATTCATTGTCAGAGCAATAGTATTAGTAAAGTGCTGACCAAGAAGTCTTTTCAAATACAGAAGATATCTATCACCATCATCTAATATCTCATTTGAATGCACAGTCCTTTTGAGATGCATTCACAGTCCATTAGAAAACATTTTAAAAACATTAATTCACATTTGCAAAAGTCAAGAAGCATCTTTTGGTATGCCGTTCTCTAATTTCTCATGTGAATATTCCTCCTCCTCAGTATTTATGCAATATTTGAGAAACATAAACAGCTTTAAGATAATTTAATATTGCAGACATTTTCTTCTCAGAGCTGCTTTTTGCAAGCATATTAAACACTTCCTAGATTACAGGCAGTAATTTATGTGTACTTTAGAGATTTTCCTAAGTAAATGGACTGTTTGTGAGAGGAACTAGTAAGATAACATCAGTCACTGCATTTCACAAACAAGATCTAGCTCATATTGCTTATTAAAATCTTCCCTACATTCTCAGTAAGCTTTGTCAATTCTTCTCCAAGATGACTGTAGGGAGCATTCAAGGCTTCACGTGGACCGGAGCATTGATCTCTGAGCAGGCTATTAATGGCTGCTAAACCTGAGGTGTTATTTTACGATATAGCTACTCATGCCTCAGGGACTGAGCTCACCAACTTGTCTCATAAGCATTTGGGGTTAGTTAGAACCTTTAGCAGTATTGATTTCTAGCAATATATCTCAATGAGAATCTCCACTATGCCCAAACTGAATGTTGATGGTTGCATAGTAATAATTATCAAATGCACATAGGAAGCATTCTTTCATTTTGCTGCAATGAATCCTGAGAATAATGACAGACTATTTAACTTAGTGTGGGAAAAATTATAGTGATCCAGCTGATCTTACTTGATTTTATATAAATGAACACTTGCATAATAGTATTAAAAATATTTCCAAGGATAAATAAATTAATTCACTCATTCAGAAACTAGTTACTGGACAGCTATGTGCTAGGCACTAGACCAGGTAACACATAGATTAATAAGATAAGTCTCTGCCTTCAAGAAGCTTATGATGAATATACTTAAGAAACCACCAAAGTGATTTTGATCCCAAAACAAGGAACACTAGCATGTGTACGAAAATAGAGTACAACAATGTTCTCTGAAGAAAGATTAAATTTCCAAATTGATAAGGCTGTTTTAAATTACCGTCCTGAAATCAGCAATGAGAACTGCTATATGAGGCTTCACTTATCCTCACTTGAGAATTAAGGTAACAACACTCACAGATGAAGTGAACTAAAATATTCTTAATAAGATTATTAAAAAACATGTTTTCTATATAGTTACTGATTTTTGAGAGTTAAAGAAAAGTTTACGTAGGATGGTAATATGTTATAAAAGACATCCCTAATAAGGTAGCGAAGGATCCCTTGTTCCCACAACATTTACCGCAATGGAAAATGTTGGATCAATACATGTTTTTCAGAGTTCAATGAAAATGTTAATTCACATTTCTGGACTGGACAGTCAGCCCTGCCCTGGTCTTCAGCTCCAAACCTTCTCGAGTGGGCTGGCACCCTAGAGGGAAAAGGTCCTGGAAAGAATCCTCTGAGTTCTGGGCCCAACCCTATCTGACCTGTATGAGAGTGTTAAGTGGAGCACACTTAACAGCTGTGCAATCCAGTCCTCTCGTCTGTAGTTTCCATAGCCTGTGCCAAGTGGTGGCTTGTAGTGGCATTTTAATCCTGAACTGGACATTTAGAAATATTATATGACCATGCAGGAGAGCTTAGAATAATCTTTTGTACTTCGGAACCAATAACTTTATAATTTTATTTGTGGGAAATACAGTTTAAATACGGGATTGTATTGTGCTCTTCGACCACTTAGCAAATAAATTTCAAAAGATAATTTCCTTCTGTGTTTACAATGTTCAGTATTTTAAAGTCTGACATGTTATGAACATTTGGAAAACAGAATCTGTTGAATGACATAACTTTCAATTATATTAAAACTGAAAAGATTTTTGAGAAAATGATAACTGTTGTCTTTTCTGATTAAATGTTATTTTCTGTTAATATCTTAAGATTACTAGTCTCTGCTTTGAACACTTATGATATTCCAAGAAAATAACTTTTGTGTATGGAAAGAATTATGTGGCCAAAATCTCAGATGGTCCCAAAGTTACCTTACAATAGGATACTCATTAACAAAGGGACAGCAATTACACATCTATGCAGAAAACATATTGACATATAGACTGATAGCTTATGTCAAAATTTAATAAAAAAAATTATGTACGGCACACTGTCAAAGTAAGCTTTTCAGTTTAGTAACAAGTGACATTAAGAAAGGTCATCTCTATTCATATTTATTCAGTACTCGCTTTGGGAATTGTATTTAAACTTCTCATAAAACAGGTATATTATTACATTTTAAAAAATGGTCTTCAGGAGTTGAAATTCAAGATAAAATTAGCAAGGGCCACTGGAAAAAAAAATCTCCCATTTACCACCATTTAAAAATGAACATTAGCTTTAAAAAAGTATTTGTCATAAATTTCACATTAACCATCACTATGCACTCCCTCACCTTGCCGTACACCATCAATACCTACTCCCGCTCAGCAAACTCTTCGCTTAAAACCATAACCACTAAACCAACGAGCATTAATTAAAATGCCTGGCACCCTGACTGATATCCAAGTGCCTGTGAGAATCAGTGGGGAGCCCTAGGATATTTAACTTATCAAACAGGAGTGAAATAAACCAGTACATAGGGTAAAAGTCTGCCTCATTTAATACCTTCTCGCAATGAATTCAGAATTTGAAATTACTTTTACCTTATAATCCAAGACAGAATGCACTTGTTCTACTTCAGAATTACTTATCATGTCACTTTCTTCATCATCAATAATTTCTATTTTCTGTAACATAAGTAGAGAAGTTTTCATAAATATATATCTGATCATCATTACTACACTCAACAACGTATAGAACATACACATTCAACGTTCAGTTTTAGTGATGGGGTTATCTAGTGTAGGTTATCTGGAATAAACTACAATAAACTCCGACTGGCTCCTCAGTGTTATAATCAGTGTGTGTCTAAGCCACCTCCCTCTACCTTTAACTGATGACTGCTTAGTAAAGAGAAATTTACTATAATACTATTTAAAATAGAAAAACCCTAATCATAATATCGCTGAAAATATAGGCATTCAAATTATGCTTAAATAGCGCCCTCCAGTGACAGGGAACTCACTTCCTGTAAGGGAAGTCTATTTAATGGTAAGCATATCTAACTGATTGGAAGGGCTTTCTTTTTTAAGTCCCCATATATCTCTTTGCAACTTCTAATGTAAAATGTCAACATATAACATGCATTCCAAAGTCAAATACGATTTTTAGAAAATTCACTTATTTACTGCACTCCATTAGCTAGACAATTGAAAGCAGACATTTACGATGTAATGATGAAAATAGTATGGTGATTTGTTTCCTTCACCAGCCAGTAAGAAGGAAGAGAGAGAGAGAAAGAGAGAGAAAGAGACACTAAATTGTCCTTAGCTTTAGAATTAAGGTAAAGCATAGTTTGTACAGTATCTCGCACACAGTAGCTACTAATTAAATATCTGTCAAAAGAATGAACAAAACAGCTTAGCATTGATGGAAAGAATGACCAATAATCTCCAACCATGGGGGCAAGGCAGGTTCTCTAATCACGGAAACTTTTTTTAAAATAAAGCAAAACCAAAAGACAAAATCAGCTCTAAATTTTTCTTTTGCAAATGAGAAACATAGTTAAGACAAAACACTTTTAAACATTTAAACCCTGCCAACTCAAAAGAAAATTTAAAAAAGAGAAAAGCTGAGTTAGTCACTAGGCAGTCTTTTAAGAATGAGCACATTAATAGTAACATGTCATAGGCAGAATTTGAAATCAAGCTTCCTACCCAGCAATATATATGGTTATTAAAAGTCACAAACAAACTTGGAATGATCATATTTGATATATTGTCTACCAGGATACCATACCATAACAGAGTTTGTGACCTGCAGGCTTCTGACTCAGGAGGACAGCTGCAGTGAAATTGCTTTTTACTGCTGCCTGGAGATGAATCTAATGTTTTGTTTGTATTATAATCACTATAAACTTGGCTTAATCATGTCGGCTCTCACCAGACCTCAGATTTGATATGTTTTTGATGTTGTTTTTTAGATTCTCTACCTATTTGGATTGGTTCTCTGAAAAAGGAGCTAAGTAATCCAGGGAGGAAGGCACCAAGGGCCACTGTATAGATTTGTGCATATAAATAGGTCTTATATGTCTTTGTGATTTGTCATCCAAGAATAATTGGGGGCACTCAAAAGTTACAGGCAGAGGAGATTAACCTTTGAAAGTTTGGAGTTTTGTCTCTGAAAATCAATTGTTCTTGAAAAATTAGGTGCCTAAGTGACTGTGAGTCATCCCATGCTATGACTTCATTCATCATCTTCAAATGTCTGCTGCAGGGGAGATACAATGCAGAGAAATTCAGGCTAAAAATGAGCATGTCTTTAGGGGAAAGGAGGTTCCAATTGTGAATAATTGTATATAAATTGTATAAGACAACTCAAATCTAGAGCAGAGGAAATTATTATTTGATGGAATTTAAGAATATTAGCACAATTAATAATCGTGGAAAACAATTATTACTAGCTATCTAATGAAAACACAACTTTGCCTCAAAATGAAAGCTTGTTTTCCTATATGCCTGTTGAATTTAGTGTTAGAAGAGAAAAATATCAATTTAAATCAGGACTGAAATCAATAAAATGCGATACTAAACCATATTCTGCACGTGGAAAACACCATTGTATATTGTTGATATTTAACAAAAAAGAACAAAGTGTATTTTATGTGCTCAACTTTTATTAAGGAGATGTGGCAGCATTATAGTGTCAGATAAATAATGTTTGTAATGGAAGCCAGGGTAAATATTGAAGCTATAGCCATTTTTTAACAGAAAAAGCCATTACTGGGACCATTTTTTGAAGGTTGCAATCAAGCACAAAACACTGATTCAAAGGCATAAACAAAAGCACAATGACATTTGCCTTTATGTCTGATTTTAGTTTAATACAATATTGATTTCTGCATTACTTAATGGAGTCAGAATATAAACAGATGCTGTTAAAACAGCTGCTTAGAGAACATCTCTATACACCAATGATGTTTACATTTTCACACAACCCAGTTTAATCCACACATAGCGTGTCTCTGCCTGCTATTCAATCTCTTCATGCTGTCTTTCCTCCATTACTGCAAGTTTTAAGATGTCTAACAAAGTCCGATTTAACTAGAAAGAAGAAAAGGTTCCAAACACAGTATAGATAGGTATGATCTGAATGGAGAACTTGGAGTCAGGAATTCTTAGATACAAATCCCAGAACTAAAAAAGTCTTCCTTCATGATCTCAGGCTAAACTCTGTTTTAATTCTGCCATCCGTCAAATGAGAAGAAATCTTCTCTTTGCTAAATGTGTTGAAGAAAAATAACTTCTTATGTATAAAATGTCTATGTGTAGTAAGCATTAGGCGTTTATATTTGCAAAGTTCCTAAATCAAAAAATTTGAGGGGGCTGGCTCGGGTGGCGTAGCGGTGAACTGCGCGGGCTCTGCTTCAGCGGCCCAGGTTTCGCAGGTTCGGATCTCGGGCGCACCCCAATGCACCACTTGTCAGGCCATGCTGTGGTGGCGTCCCATATAAAGTAGAGGAAGATGGGCACGATTGTTAGCTCAGGGCCAATCTTCCTCAGCAAAAGGAGGAGGATAGGCATCAGATGTTACCTCAGGGCTAATCTTCCTCACAAAAAAAAAAAAAATTGAGGGCCGGCCCCGTGGCTTAGCTGTTAAGCGCACGCGCTCCACTACTGGCGGCCCAGGTTCAGATCCCGGGCGCGCACCGACGCACTGCTTGTCCAGCCATGCTGAGGCCGTGTCCCACATACAGCAACTAAAAGGATGTGCAACTATGACATACAAGTATCTACTGGGGCTTTGGGGAAAAAAAAAAAAAGAGGAGGATTGGCAATAGATGTTAGCTCAGAGTCGGTCTTCCTCAGCAAAAAGAGGAGGATTAGCACGGTGTTAGCTCAGGGCTGATCTTCCTCACACACACACAAAAAATAAATAAATAAAAAACTGAGGTACAAATGACAGTGCTTTAAATTTCATTTATTAAACGCTCAATGTTATGTAATTTCATTGGCAACAGCTCTGTTTTGGTTTGTAAAGGGGAGCAAGACTTTATTCTGACAACACTGATATTGTCACCAACTAGAAACATATCCTTGAAATCCATCATGTAACGAGGACAGAATGTTAAAATGTACATACCACGTTATCTGAGGATACTGCGTGGTGGTCTTCCTCCTTATGAGCCCTTGTCTCATTTGGAGCAACTTCATTGGAGTCTTCTATAGAAAAAAAGAAAGGCCATGCATTTTTCAAGATCACTTAAATAATTTTTCTGTTGTATAAAGACAGAAATGGCAAATTCACTTCATATATGCTTTGATGAGCAATTCTACTTCTGACAATGTATTCTAAGGAAATAAGTGTGGATGGGTACAAAAACAAGGGTTGTCACCACTGTGCTGTTTATAACTGAAAAAATGGAAGCAACCTATACGCTTAACAATGGAGGATTAGTGAAATCATTTAGGACCTATCCCTATAATAAATACTATGAAGCCACTGAAAATGAAGTAGAAGAACAGTTGATAATAAAGAAAATATTCATAATCTATTGGAAAATGAAAAAATGAAGGTGACAAAACCTACAATGTAGGTACACTGTGATCTTAATTTTGTAAAAGAAAAAAACATGTACATTTTCATGGAGAAAAAAAAGACTGAACTGTTTACACCAAAACATTGCCATTATTATTTCTGGATGGAATTACAGGCAATTTTTATTTTTCTTTCTTTTGTCTAATTTTAGTTATTTTGATAATTTTTATTTACTTCCATTTGCTTATTTATATTTAAGTACTTTCCTACTATGAACATGTGTTGCTCATCGAAATAAAAGTGATAAAAATAATTTTCAAATACATGATATAAAACTATAAATATAGTATATTTCCAATTTTGTAAAAAGGCACGTGTATGTGAATGCACGTGTATACATGCAAAGATAAAATACTGCCAAAAATATTTCCCCAACTCCACTGAGGGTTTGGATTATTTCTATTTTTTTCATTGCATTTTCCAATATTTTCTATAATGAACATGTTCCTTTTATGATTGAAATTCAATATCCTAAAAACGAGAAAGAAAAAATGAGAGAAAAATTAACTCCAGAGAGCAGTCTACTAAAAAGCTCTCTGCTGAGCTAAGGGAAGTGGCTAGCTCACAGCATAGGATATCTACAAGATAATCTCCTGTCTTGGGTTACCCCTACCTTACCCCTTAGAAAAAGAGGGCAGCAGTATTTCTCTCTTTTCTTTCTGCACAGCCATGTCATGGAGATTATTTGGGTAAATACTAGGGGAAGTTCTCAGCCCCTTGGTAACCAACATTTTATTTCACTATAGAAAGCAGAACAAAAATATTTATTAGCCCTCCTAAGATTTTCCATTCCTACCTATGGAAAGACATATAGGAGTGCCCTGTATGAGCATGGGGGATGATTAGGAGGAAAACATGGCTACTCCAGGAACTCACATATGAGTACAGAGAGAATTAGCGTTTAAGATATCCAGGGAAACTTTAGCAGAGTTTTAATGCAAAGGCCAGTATAAATTCAATTAAATTTTTTTAATAAAAGAATGGTTCCTGAACAGAGGAAACTTTATTCATTATTTAGACATTTCAAATCACAGACATTTCAAGTACTATGTAATCAGCAACTAAATGAAATGAAGGGAGGGAAAACTGTCATCAGTTTTAGCTGCAGAGCTGGTATTTGCACTGGTGTCCTCAGAATAGGGGTTATATTACTTATCAACAAGATCATTACTGGTTTGCCTTATATTTCTGTTCTCACTTGCTCATAACTTTGTATACAGTTCTGCTTTACTGACGACATATTCATGCATGGTTTGATTATTTTATATGATGTAAATAAAAACTGTTTTGAGGATTTCTAAAATAAAAAAAGTGTGAAGTGATTCAGCTGAATAAGGCATGTTTTCTTTTGCTTACAGATAGCTTCCACATTAGTGAAATCTGAAAGCTAAACACTGTCAATGTGTCCGATTATTCCTGAAGAAAAGCAGTTCTGCTAAATGGAAAATAAATAAGTAGAATTATTAATCAGTGAAAACTCTAGGGGGCTCTCTATGTGGTGGCCATATGCTCACACTAAGTAACTGTATGCAGTATTATCTTTCATGGGCACAGTCACATAATAGATACAGCTGAAAAGATGTTTTGTTATAAAATTTAACATTATAGATGTTAATTGTTCCCATACTTTAAACAATTTGCGTCTCAGGATAGTAAAAGTCTTTAAAATTGCTCAATCATAAATATATTTTGGTAGACACAAAAATTGAATTAAGGAGCTGAGTCATCTAACTATTACTTTTGCTAGAGTTTGCAGTTGGGTGAGGGGTGAACCCAAGTAGTTTTTTCTTTATCAATCCCAACCACACCTCCTTTCTCTTCACCTCCACCCAGGGAAAGGAAAAGGAAATGGAAAAAGCCAAGGTGGGAGGTAGAAGGTGGAAGTTAGAAGTCAGTCAGAAGCTCTGTATCAGGAAAGTACCTACTCTCTCAGAAGCAAAGGAATGGAATTAAACTGCTAAAAGATCAACAGCACTTTTTTTTATTGATGTTTTAATAGTTTTTAACATTGTGAAATTTTGGGTTGTACAGTTTTGTAGGTCCATCACCATATATATGACTCCCTTCACCCCTTGTCCCCACCCCCCACCCCCACTGCCCCTGGTAACCACAATACAGTTTTCTCTGTCCATGTGTTGGTTTATATTCCACATATGAGTGAGATCATACAGTGTTTGTCTTTCTCCTTCTGGCTTATTTCGCTTAACATAATACGCTCCAGGCCCATCCATGTTGTTGCAAATGGGACAATTTTCTCTTTTTTTATGGCTGAGCAGTATTCCATTGCGTATATATACCACATTTTTGATCCAGTCGTCAGTCAAGGGACACTTAGGTTGCTTCCACTTCTTGGCTATGGTGAATAATGCTGCAATGAACATAGGGGTGCATAAGCCTCTTTGGATTGTTGATTTCAGGTTCGTTGGATAGATTCCCAGT